TCAAAAGTCTTGATGTTATATTAATACTATAAATTAGGCAAATAATCATTGCTTAACCTTCAGAGATGAAAATGGTAAGCTTGGGCGACGTATTTGACAGAGGAGACCAAGCCTCATACCAGGAAGAGTCTTCAAAAGAAAATATTAAGTATAACAACATTAGCTACTGAGGTAATCCTATTCTTTTAACTAATCAGGCATTTATTAAACATCTTTTGCACTCTAAGTACTGTGCTAGGTACTGAAAATTCAAAGACAAAAGTAAAGCAGCCCCTGTCCCTGAGAAGCTTATAATCTAGCCAGTGGAGACAACATATACCCTATACATCTATAAATAACTGTGGGTATAAAGTCACTAGGAGCTGAAAGATCAGGAAGGGTTTTGAAAACTTATACAGTAGAAGAAAGTGATGCTTGAACTAAACCTTACTATACTAAGAGGCAGAAGTCAAAAGGGAATACATTTCAGGCATGAGGGTTAGCCAGTACAAAGGTTCAAAGATGGCAGATGGAAGGCTGTGTATAAGAAACGGGAATAAAGGTAGTCTGCCTAGACTATAGAATGTGTGAAAGGGAGTTAGGTGTAATGAGGAAGGAAATGTGTAATGAGGGGTGTAATGTATCATGATGAATGAGGTTGGATTATATTATATTGTATAAATACAATATATTGTATTTATATTAGAACTTAAAGGTAACAGACTGCTCTTGGAGTTTATTGAATAGGAGAATGACTTGATCTTACCTGTGTTTCAAGAAAATCACTTTGGCAGTTGCTGGAGAATGAATTAGAGTGGGGAAAGAACTGAGAGGGGAAGTTAAATTATTGTTATTGTAATAGTTCAGAACTACAGTGGTTGGCGGCTATGTGAGCAGAAGGAAGCGAACAAATAAGAAAGATATTGTAGAGGCAGGGTTGATAAGATTTGGCAACTGAATGGATATGTGGTAAGAGTAAGGAATTGGGGATAATACTGACATTCTGAAACTGGGTGACTAAAAACATAGTGGTGACCCCAAAAGAAATTAGGGAAGTTTTGAAGAAGGCTGGATTTGGGGGAAATAACAATGAGTTCTGTTTTTAAACATGTTGAGTTTGAGGTGAATACAAAACATCCACTTCAAAAAATCCAGTGGGCATTTTGTAATTTGTGACTAGCATTCAGGAGAGACATTAGAGCTGAATATATCAGTTTCAGAGATGAGGATGTAAGAACAGAAATAATGTTTAAATGATATAAGCTAATGAAGTCACCAAAAGAGAAAATAAAGAGAAAAGGATGCAGAACAGTTAGGGGGCATGATATGACTGATGATATGGCAAAAGAAACAGAGAAGGAATGGTTAGACAGATAGGAGAACAACCAAAAGAAAGTAATATCATGAAAACCAAGAAGAGAGAGAGAGCATTCAGGAGCAGAGGATAGTCAATAGTGTTAAATGTTGCAGACAAGTCAAGAAAGATGAGTATTGAGAAAAGGCCATGGGATTTGTCAATTAAGAAAATGCTGATAACTTTGTTGAGAGCAGTTTCATTTGAGTGATGAGGTCAGAAAAAAGACTGTAAATGGTTAAGAAACGAAAGAAAAGAAAGGAAGTAGATGCAATGACTGTAGAAAGCTATTATTTCTTTATTTCTAAAGTCTTTGACATGCAGGAGTAAGAATCTCATGCTCAAGAGATGGGAGACTTCAGAATCTAGATTGTGAGGGAACAAAACAGGGGAAATTTCTTTTGCTCCTAGGCTGGGGTGAGGATTTTGATGACTTTTATAAAAGAGTATTACTGAAGTACCCTAGGCGAGCATTTTAAACAAGTCAGAAGCTAAATGGGAGATGATAGCTAAAGCATTCACCAGGGATGCCAGCAAATCAATCAGCAGAACAGCATCCTGAAAAAACCAGCGGAGAAGTATCTACCACAGCAGTAGCAATGTGCTACTGAGAACAGCATTCAGTGAAAACCACAAGACTAGTGGGGAGCAGTTCTGGCTCAGAGGAATACCAAACTAATTCCAGAAGAAGCAGTGAGATGTCACTAGAAGGCAAAATAATCAATCAGGCAACCAGCATTTATTAAGCACCTACCATGTGCCAGGAGCTATGCTTGGAATATATAAAGTCAGACAAAAAAAACAGTCCCTGCTTTTAAGGAACTCACAGTGTAATACAGAAGACAATATACAAACAGTTATGTACAAACGAGATGTATACAGGATAAATTTGGGGCAGTCGCAGAGGGAAGGTATTAATATTAAGGAGGACTGGGAAAGGCCTCTTGCAGAAAGTGAGACTTCACCTGAGATGTGAAGAAAGCCAGCAAAGCTAGGAGATGGAGATGAAGAGGAAGAGAGTCCTAGTCATGGAAGAAAGCCAGTGAAAACACTCAGAGTTGGAAGAGGGAGTATTGTATGTAAGGAATAGCAAGAAGGCCAGTATTACTGGATCTCAAAGTGCATGGAAGGAAAGGTGTAAGAAGACTAGACAGATAGGAAAAGACTCTGCAGTGTTGAAGACATGTCTCCTTCCTACATGTGTACCTTATGTACCTTAGTCATGCGTCCCCTCCCCATGAATGTGCCCTGGCCACGTGTGTTCCCCTCCACATCTATCCTTTATTTGTAACCACTCTTCCCAGTATAAGTATTTATGAGAGTGTATCCCATTTCGGAGGGTGGGGTAGTGGTGTTTTGTTGCTACTTCCTTTTTACTATGACATTTCATTAAGTGCCTTTTCTTTGAATTAACTTTGTCGTCTGGGTCACTATCACACGTAAACACAATAGTAGGGGCCTGTGAATGATAGTTTTATGGATGCAGATCCACAGAGTACCCTGAAACTGGAGGAGCCATCTGCTGGGGAACCCACCCCTATGATGTAGTCCCCCAAGGTCTGTCCTCCCCTCATGTATACGTATTATAACTACATGGCCATAAAGCTATATAGGAGATTTAAAGCATATGTGGAGATGCTATATTGCACATATATGTATCTATTTATTGTATATCTATATATCTCATATATGTGTATTTACCCACACATATCTTCATATGTGCATATATATGCATTTACCTTCATATATGTATATTGTGGTACTTTTGCTTGCTAGTTAAATATTTCATAACATATACACATTTATAAATATATGCATACATTGTAATCTTTCACTTACCTGTTAAACTCCTGATTTCTATGTAATGTCCCTCTCCTCTGTGCCAGATCTCCCACTAAAGAGATATATGGATATAGACAACCAGCTACAAGCCTGGTAAGATAAGGCTGCCAGGCTGATCACAGTCGGAATAGCCACCATTTATTGTCCTTAACCTCTCCCTGAGATGAAACAAGTCCCTTGAAGAATTTGGAGCTAGCATACATTAAGGGCCACACATTATAGAAAACAATCAATGTAATAAGAAATATTAAACTACCTTTAATAAGAAGCAAGATTCAGTTAGAGAAAAAAAAAAGATTGCTCTCTTACTGGACTTTGCAGAATCATGGAAACCCTCTTCTTTTGCTCCATCATGTTGAAATCCTGACGAAGGTCTGGTGCCATATTCCTCTCTCTTAAGTATTCTGGATTGTTCTCATCTACTCTATCAAAATATCGCTCCTTATGAGGGGCTGTGGTTGGAGGTGGTGAAGTCACCACCGTCGAGCCTGTATCACCATTCATAGCACAATTTTAAAATTCCCTGTGGAGAACAAAAATAAAAAGGTTTATTTATTTTTATTTATTTTGGTGAGGCAATCACAGTTAAGTGACTTGCCCAGGATCATACAGCTAGTAAGTGTCAAGTGTCTGAGGCCAGATTTGAACTCAGGTCCTCCTGACTCCAAGGTCAGAGCTCTATCCATTGTGCCACCTAGCTGCCCCTAAAAAGGTTTATTTTTGAATGAATACCCAATAGTATGTCACCAAATAAATGTTTGGGCCTTAGATATTATCATAATTTTCACAATACAGCAACCTCATACAAAGCACAATTAATCAGAACTATTTGGCACAGTTATGCTTCAACCACTGATGCTGAAGAGGCAAAAGTCGATCAGTTCTACGAAGACCTACAACATCTTCTAGAAATAATATCAAAAAAGATGTTACATTCATCATAGAAGATTGTAGGAAATCAAAAAGTAATTGGAATAATTGGCAAGTTTGGCCTTGGAGTACAAAATGAAGAAACTAATAGAGTTTTGTCAAGATAACTAGTTGGTCATAACAAACACTCTTTTTCAACAACTCAAAAGGCAACTTCACATGGACATCACCAGTTGGTCAACATCAAAATCAGCTGGATTATATACTTTGCAGCCAAAGGTAGAGAAGCTCTATTCAGTTAAAACAAGACCTGGAGGTGACTGTGGCTCAGATCATGAGCTTATTATTGCAAAATTCAGACTTAAATTGAAGAAATTAAGGAAAACTATTAGATCATATAGGTATGACCTAAATACCATCCCTTATGAATATGAAGTGGCGGTGATGAATAGATTTAAGGGATTAGATCTGGTAGATAGGCACATTAAGGAACTGCTACTGGAGTTGTGAACTACTCCAACAATTCTGGAGAACAATTTGGAACTATGCCCCCCAAACCATTAAACTGTTCATATCCCTTGATCCAGAAATACTGCTACAAGTTGATACCCCAAAGAGATCAAAGAAAAAGGATCTGTATGTACAAAAATATTTATAGTAGCTCTTTTTGTGGTGGCAAAGAACTGGAAACAGAGGGAATGCTCATCAACTGGAGAATGGCTGAATACGTTATGTTATATGAATGTGAGGGAACACTACCATGCTGTAAGAAATGATCAAGGAGTTTCAGAAAAGCCTGGTCAGACTTATGGGAAAAAGTGAAGTGAGCAGAACTAGGAAATCAATTCACACAATAAGAGCAGTACTGTAAAGATAATCAACTGAATTTAATAACTCTGATCAACACAATAACCCACCAAAATTCCAAAGGGCTCATGATGAAAAGTGCTATCTACCTCCAGATGGATGATGGATTCAGGGTGCAGACTAAAGCATATTTTTTTCTCTTTCTTTTTCTTGTTTTATCCCGTCTGCCCCCACACCCACCCTGAACATGGCTAATGTAAAAATTTGTTTTGTACCACTTCATATATGTAATGGGTTTTCTGTTTCTTGCCTTTTTGATGGGTGGAGGAGGAGATGGGGAACTAAAAATAAAATTGAATTTTTAAACAAAGAAGCAAATGATTTTTAAAAATGCATTTGGAATATCTTTGTTTCCCTTTTCACATCTAAGAAACAGAACAAATAAAATCCAAGTAAATAGGATAATAATTTCATCAAATTAGAGAAAAGCATCTGAGATAATTGGAGACCTGAGATCACTATAAGAATATCAATAAACCAACAAGTTAACACTCCTTCAAAGATCATTTTTCTCTGACAAAACAGGAAAATGATAAATGTTGGAAAAGATGTGGGAAAATTGGAACAGTAATGCATTGTTGGTGGAGTTGTGAAATGATCCAACCATTTTGGAGAGCAATTTGGAACTATGCCCAAAGGGCTATAAAAAATGTGCACACCCTTTGACCCAGCAATAACACTCCTAGGGTGGTTCCCAAAGAGATCATACAAATGGAAAAAGTACCCATATGTATAAGAATATTTATAGCAGCTCTTTTTGTGGTGGCAAAGAATTGGAAATTGAGGGGATGCCCAACAACTGGGGAATGGCTGAACAAGTTGTGGTATATGAATATGATGGAATACTATTGTGCTATAAGAAATGATGAGCAGGTGGACTTCAGAAAAACCTGGAAAGAGCTGCATGCTGAGAAAGACTGATGCTGAGTGATGTGAGCAGAACCAGGAGAATGTTGTGCAATGACTAATGTTGACAGACTTAGCCCTTCTCAGCAATGGAGATCTAAGACATCTCCGAAGGTCTCATGATAGAAAATGCTATCCACATCCAAAGAAAGAACTATGGAGTTTGAATGCAGATCGAAGCATACTATTTGCTCTTTTTTTTCTTCTGTTTTGTTTTGTTTTTTCTTTCTTGTGGTTCCTCCTATTGGTTCTAATTCTTCCTTACAACATCACTAATGTAAAAATATGTTTAATAGGAATGTATATGTATAGCTTATATCAGATTGCACTCCATCTTGGAGAGGGAGGTGGGGAGGGAGGGGGAGAAAAATGTAAAACTCAAAAGCTTATGGAAGTGATTATTGATAAATCAAAATAAATTAATAAAAATAAAATAAAAGGACAACAAACAATAAAAAAGATCATTTTTCTCCAAAAACATTACCTTTTGGTTGCCAATAATTCTCCATTATTCTAAAAAAGTCTTTCAATTTGAAAATTTTACTTTAAAGAATCTGAGCATTTCTAACCTATAACAGTCAATGCCTGCTATTATGTACCAAGTGCTAGGGATGCAGAGATAAAAACAAAATGCTATGTGCTCTCAATAAGCTTACATTCTATTGGGGAGAAACAATATGCACACAGGAAAATAAAAAATACATAAAGTAATTTCAGAAGGAGTGGAAAGTGCAAGCAATTGTAAGTGTGGGGGACGGTAGGAAGAGATAAAGACAGGACTCGTATCATAAAATTCAATATAAGCATTCTCCAATATTGTTTTCCGCTCCCCATCCCTCCTCCCCATCCACACTCTTGGGGAAATTCAATCCTACTTTGTAGGTATCCAAAATTCCAAGAATGGCAGGCCAACTGGCAAGCAAGTACTAGGATTATAATTACTAAATATATTTAAAATTTTGAACTATGAAGTAACTAGTGAGGTATAGTAGAAAGAGCTCTGATCCTGGAATCAGAAGACCCAGGTACAAAGTCTGACTCTGCCACTTATGAGCTAGTGCTATTTTAGGCAAATCACAATCTCTCAGGACCTCTGTTTCCTTATATATAAAATGTAGGAGTTAAAATAGATGATCTATAAGGTCCTTTCCAACTCTTAATACTTAAAGATTCTATGAACAAAGCCCAACTATGATTCAATGAACTATGAGAAAAGGCACTGAATTTAGAGTCAGAGTAACTGTTAAGTTACAAACCTAGGTTTGTTTGAATTCTAACTCTGCTACTAAGTAGCTGTGGGATCTGGACAAATTACTTCCCCTCTCTGCACATCAGTTTCTTTAACTGTAAAATGCGGGGTTGGACTTGATGATCTCTAAGGTTTCCCCTTACATCTCTACAGTCTATGAATATAACTATTTTCCTTTTAAAACAAGGTCACATGAAATTTTAGAAGGTAGAGATTGCTGCTTGCCAGTTCCACAGCAGACCTACACAATGAACAAAAAGAATCTTTGTAAGACCAACCTAGTGAAGGCAACAAATGGTGTGATAGCCTTTCTCTTATCACAAATTGCTATGTCAGAAGGGTGAGATAAAGAATGTGGACTATATCTATTGTTCTCTTTTTTTCCTCAGCACAACAGATAAAAAATTCAGTAACGAAGTTTGCAAATTTAAATAAGGACTCTAAGTATAAAGATACTGGATCCATGAATCAAGATGAGTAAAATGCTAATGTTGGTTCTGATCTGAATATTGGCCCTTGACAAATAGCTTATTTTTGACTTTATCTTTGGTTAGCATGACCTTCAAGAAGAGAAACATTTTGGTGCGACAACAAATTCTTCTATGAACATTTCTGTAACTATTAGAGAACAGAAAAATTAACAAATCATCTGGAAACAAACTTTCTTTATGAAGAAATTTGGCCATGGTAAAAAGAAATAAAGAATTTTCCTGAATCCAACAAAACAATGTTGGCTCTTGTCAGGTCTTAAAAGGCACGTTTTCCTTGAGCGTGTACAGAAGACAAACAACTCTGAACATACAGCTTCGGTTTTTCTGAAGAGATAGCTACAGACCAACACAGATGATCAGGGCAAATCTGTGACTCCTTTCTGTCCCAAAAAACAGGAAAGGTTCTAGTATCATTTATATTTTTAACTGAAAAAAAAAATAACAGTTCACTATGAATTAGTTTCAGTACATGCATTATTTTACATTAATGTTATTTCAGTTAGTATCTAATATTTTTAATACAGTACTAACCAACCTTTTTTGGTTGTTCAGGAATAGTAACAACTCACATTTTTATAGTGCTTTAAAGTTTCCAAAGCACTTTCCCTCCTCAACAACCCTCTTTACAGGTAATACTGCTATTATTATTCTTCCCATTTTATAAATGAGGAAACTAATTAAATTGTCTAAGGTCACATATAGAAGTGACAAGGCCGGGACTCAATCTCAGATATTTATGAGTCAAAATCCAGTATTCTTTTCACTACAATAGGATACATACTCCTAAGCTGATCTGGTAAAGACTGTCACTAAAATATCTTCTCTTTGATTACAAAGGTAATGGTATCCTAGGATATACTTCATGTTAGTGGTATGTAAATAAATTATGGAAGAAAAAGACTATAACATTTTATTTTTTGCTTCTCAAAAATACCAGGTGAATTAATTCTATAGTTTTATAAAGCAGGTTCTTGATACTAGCACCTTACTTGATACCTGTCTTAGAATTCTTCAAGAGCTCTCCTGTAGGAAGACAAGGATGACCTGTTCTACTTGACTTTTCTGGAATAGAACTATACAAAATGATTTGGGGAGAAGAGCACTAACAACTTGGGTAAATGAGGAGAGACTTCATGTATG